TTAGGTCCGCCAAGTCCGTTCTGGTATTGCGGAGATCATCAAGGCTGGCATGTGCGCTCGCCCGGAGTTGTTCGCGGAGCTCGAGTCGTTATTGTCGAGCAAAGGCGTTGAAGGACTCGTCCAGGATTATGATGAGTTTAGGCATGTGATTGTTGCAGGAATTGAGTAAGTGAGGTTGCTGATTGCAACACTGGACTCTTACCAACCTAGTGATATGAAAAAACTAGTGAAAAATATATATTTTACGACTATTGCATTTCACCGCGTTTTACGCCACTTGACGTGAAATGTCATTGTGGTGGTGTTATTATTGACAGTTACAAGAGAAGTGTGGTAGAGGAGGATGAGAGGGACAAAGGCCTACGAAACGAGCTTAACTGGGGGCATACTGTCGGCCATGCTATCGAGGGAATGGGTAAGAGGAGTTTCAATGCCGAGTTGCAAGTGTACTCACCGTGTTGACCTCTGGATGTTGACGAGAAGCGAGGATTCATTTCATGGAAAAATGATTGAGTTTATGTTATCCAATTTTTTAATATTTGATCTCATAGTCTATTTATCATTAATTTTTTTCTCATAATTTTCTTGCCTTTTTATTTACTTGCTGGTGTTTTAGTTCTTTTCTTTAGTCTCTTTATTGAATTTTGAATATTTTATTATTTCTTTACTCTTTTTTCAAAAAATTTTATTACTTTTTTTATTTTTTTATTGAACTTGAATGTTTTATTACTCTTTTAGTCTTTTTTATTTCAAAAATTTTATTACTTTTTTTGTCTTTTTATTGAATTTCGAATATTTCCTTACTCTTTTTTTGTCTTTTTGTTGTTATTTCTACATAGAGTTTCTATCAGGTGTCACGGGACTGCATCACGGGGAATGTGTATCGATCGGAATGGTCTATGAAGCGATGGCACTGAGAGCTCAAGGGCAGCTTTCGAATATTGCCGTGAGTCGGGCCTAATCCGTATCTTACGTGCATGAACCTAAGATACTCTTTAGGCACAACGTTTGGAGAAAGTATTGAAGTGCTGTGATCTTCCCACAGTGCTGCCGCCTGGTGCAGAGGAGAATCGAGAGGAGCTTATGAGGCGTATGAAACGCGATAAGAAAAATAGAGGTGGCCAACGGAACTTGATATAACCGCTTATTGGTGGTTTCCCGTTCAGGCGGAGCGATACATGTTGTTGATGTGAGGGACATAGGAAGGTGTGAGGGCGACAGTAGGACGGTGCCTGTGCCTGACAGGATACTCAAACGGGTAAAAATCGGACGATTTTACACGGGTTAAAACGTCCAAGTTAGGGAGTTTTTGTCTCATACCACTCCTGGTTCAACTTGATGAATGAGTTGTCTCAGGTCTTGTCTTCTGCGGTGACCATCTCGGGATCAGCATTAGTGAAGTCTGGACAGAAGCTGGGTCCATCGGGTGGTGGAGTTTTGGAGCTCCCTGGTTCGAAGTCTATATCCAATAGGGCGCTGGTCTTGGCAGCTTTGGCTGAAAAGCCTGGAGGAAAGTGTCGGGTGAGTGGCTGGTCGTGGGATGGGATAGTAGTTGTTGTAGTGTGAGGGAAGATGCACATGATCAACTACGCGGGTCGGTGAGAATATGGAAATGCTGAGGAAATTCGGGGAGATCGTTGTTGGTTTTTATACCAGTTCTAGTCGAATAAGAGTATAAACTGGTATAGTTAGTGGAGATTCAATTCAATTGAAAAAACCGAACATATATGCCAGCACTTTGAGTCGTTGAGAACTGGCATGCAGTGACTCCGTATTAGCGTCATCTTGTTGGGAATATAGGCTCGCTTTCCTCAGCTGAGTTGAAAAGTTTCATCACAGATTATGGAAGTTCGG